AAAAACCGTATAAAATATGCGTGTCAACATTGGAACTGATGAATTTTCAATAACTACGTGAACTAAAGCACACTCAAAAACACCTCCCAGATCATCGTGATCCGCTAATTTTTGTGGCTCAGCATAACCCATACAAAACCCTTTTCGGAGCCAGTTTGTATAGACTAGTATACAAATTTGTATAGTTTAGTACAGTTTGTATAGTATAGTATAATAATACGACAAACAACCGAAATGCGTTCTTTCAAACTTTTTGCCATAAATTTGTCATTTTTTGACCAATTTTTAAAATCCAATTGCACTATTTTGTATAGCGTAAAAAATTCTTTAAAATAATGTGCCAAGATATATATGGTTGTATCTGAAATGTTGAAGTTGACCTAGGCTTGAGGTATCCTGTATAATTTTTCTCAAAAAAAGGTAAAAATCTGAAACTAGATTAAAAAGTATTTAGGGGGGCTTCTAAAAAGGACACCCTGTATATGTATAAAAACTATGTTTTGGGTCGTGTATATTAAATGAATCTATTTGTTAATTGTTTATCGGATACCTTTATTCGTGATCACCAGGGTATTGAAGTGCCTTAGTCACTCTCTTTAAAATATCTCGGAATATGGCTGGATATTAGGACTTTATATAACAAATTTGGAAATGTGAATAATTCAAAATCAGTATAAATGACTCAGATTTTTACCAATTTTAATAATGAATGAGGAATTTAATTTTATTGTTTAAATAGTACTTTTCTTCATTTTTAACTTGATTTGATAATATCGATTTGTTATACATACTAGATTAATAAATATTTGGATTTTCCTACTTAGTAACAGATAAAAAGCAGGTCTGCTCGCCAGACTAGTTAATGTTTATTGCTAGGTATTTTTTTCTTGTGCACAATTGCTTTAATTTTACTGAAAACACTAAGAATAATAAAATTTTATTGTATATGTAACTATAAAGAAAACCGTATAAAATATGCGTGTATCATCATTGGAACTGATGAATTTTCTATAACTATGGGAAGTAAAGCACGCTCAAAAACACATCTCCCAGATCATCCCGATACGCTAATTTTTGCGGCTTAACATAACACATATAAAACACTTTTTGGAGCCAGTTTTTATTAAATAATAGACAAAACGGACACATTTTCATTAAGGGTCTGTGGTAGGTTTTTCCGCACCACTGGCATACCATGCAATGAACCAAATTTATTTGTCCTCTCTCATTTCTGTATTAATCTAAATTATAGTGTTTCCTAAACGTTTTTATTATCCATCGCATCAAATAATTCACGCTAATTGCTCGACAAAACGTTTAATCAAAAAATAAAATAAAATCTGTCAGTTTTGACTAAACATTTTTTGTCACTCCATGTTCAAGTGGGGCTGCATAATGCAAAAAATTATGCTAATCTTATTTTTTGCCTGAAAAATACCAATCTAAAGGGAAATTTACGCTATATCTAAAGCTGACTGGATTGTGTACATGTAGGAATTTTTGTATCGACTTTTTGGAATTAAAGAGGATAATGTCACCTAAAAAAAATTGGTCACTTTTATGGAATTAACTTCTAAACAATTTTAAGATTATGCAATTCTAGTATTTGTCATTTTGTTTGCTATTTGCATATTAGCTTAACAGCCTAAAAAATACATTAACGTTTCTAATTACTGAAACAAAACAAAAATCGAGTATGTTGCCGTTCGTGATATATGATGTGCAGTAAGCCGGCTGCACAAGTTTGTAAATAACCAGACTGGGATAACCCCCGGGTGGTACACCTGCCAGGCAAATTAAAAAAAGAAAAAGTAGGAAGAGGAAAGAACAGTAAAGATAGGGTTGAACAGCAGACCATTGCGGTGGAAGGGAGGTGGCTCGCTGGACGAAGCCTGGATTGTGGCGCTTCGGCACAACTCGCAACTAAACCTTCTCGAAAGATCGACGGCATTTTCGCCAAAAGATGTCTTGTACAAAGACATCTTTAGATTAGTTATTTTTTAACGAGAGCCAAAAACGTTTTAACTGCGGAAATTAGGAAAACCGCAATTTTGCAGTTTACAAAAAATCTGAAAAATCGGTTTTTGACCCACTTTAGCCTTGTTAACTTGTCAACAATTATTCATATAAATAGCACCTAAATTCAACTGTCCAATAGCCAGAAATCTGGGAAGAAAAATAATTTAATAATAAATAATACATAAATAATTTCGAAGTTGTTCACCAAGCACTTATGAAAATTCAGTAATGCCAAATGTTATCACTATTTCATCAATGTCTTACTTTGACCATCTCTGCTAAGTAACGAACACACTGGATAAAGGTATGGACTTGAAGAAGAAAGCAATGCTGATGCCATGCTTTCGACCTATTTTAAGGTCATCATCAGAGCCTATATTAATTTCACATTATGAATATAAACAGTCATATTTGTACACTGATCATTTGTAGTTTTGTCACTATTCAGCACATGCTTCTGGAGTGAGGTTAAAGAGCGAGCTTTCAGAACTAAGAAATAACTACCGAAAAACATTGGCTAATAGACTGTTATATATTAATTCAAGTAAGTTAATAAATAGTGAAAAAACCGATAAAAATATGAACAATCCTTTCACGTTCAAGAGTATAACGTCATCCAACAGATTTCGCCCAAATTAAAATATTTGATGAAGAAATACATTGCCGGCATCAATTGTTTTTAGAAATACAATAATAAAATGAGCTCTTTACTTATTAAATTCAAGGATAAGGAAGAAAATTTGAATTTCTCGTATGTCGTATACAGGTTCGCGTCTAGTGAATGTCCAATCAAATACATTCATCAAACAAAACAGAGAATAAAAAATAGAATTTATGGCCATGTTTCTGATTGTGGCAATAAATGCAGAACGGGTACCGGACAATCAAAACATTCACTATCAAGTAGGCATAAATTTGACTTTTCGAATGTTGAAAGAATTGACAAAGATTATCAACTACTCAGAAGAAGAAAAAAAAGGTTCTACAAACTAAATTTGAAAATAATAATTGTAACATTCAATCAGATACTATAGGCTTAAGTTCAATTTATGAAAGTCCTATTAATTTTAAAAAGAGTTCTTTGATAACGAGAGGAGGACCTCAAGGATAAAGTTGCAATACTGTTACAGTCCTTGGCAATGTTGGGACTGAATCGGTCTTCAAAGAAATTTGAGATCCCCTATAAAAAAACAAACTTAAATATGTCAATTTGTAGATTTAGTACAATTGTACAATGTGTTTTTCATAATGTGAAATTAATATAGGCCCTGATGATGACCTTAAACTAGGTCGAAAGCTTGGTATTAGCAACTAAATTTGCTTTCTTTTTCTTCAAGACCATACCTTGATCCAGAGTGTTCGTAAGTGAAGTGGTCGATACATTTTATAATGAAAATCTATTAGCTAACTTTGTTCCTAAACTTTTACGTGCATAACACTGATTTCTTCTTTTCTGCTTAATTATTGTAGCTAAAAACCTCAATTATAAACAGAAATTTCAATGATCTTCCATTTTTTTATATTTTATATATACACTGATGTTCAAAATTAATACACCACTCTTGAATTTTAATTTATTGAAGAGTATTCACATTTTGCATATCAAAACTATATTTGGTTGTAAAAATAAGTCATTAAAAAGAAAATGTTTATTACATAATTCTATTAAAAAATTTACGTTTCTCGGAAAAGATTGTTGATAAAATCCTGAGAAATTCTATCCCATTCATCAAGACCAGCAGTTTCCTACTCTTCTAAGGTTTTTGCCGACGTAATCGTCCCTTAAGTTGGTCCCAAATAAATTTGATTGGGTTCAATTGGTCAAACCAAGCACTCACTTCCAACATGGTTCAGGCAGTCATCCACATACGTGTTCTTAGCACACAACCAATTCGGTGAAAGGAAATGCCACCCCAGAACATCAATGACCCACTATGGAATGCACTTGAAGAACCATACACCATAGGAAGTACATTTTTCTGACCGTCTCCATATGAAATTACGTTCATCTGAAGATTTGAGACCAACTCTCATTTCATCTATGAAGAGAACTCGTCCCCAATCTTTCAATGTCAAATTCACATTTTGCCTTGCGAATTGATGCTTGGCCATTTTCTGACCTGTTGTAAGAAATGGTCCACGAGCAGCTTGTCGGGCCTTGAGGTTATTTTCATTTAGCCTCCTTCTTACAGTCCTGGAAGAATTGAAACATTTCGGATTTGTCTTATCAAAATTCCCGTAATGCTGCGGTTTCTTACAGCTGATAAATCTATCCTCTCCCTCGGCACTAGACCTAGGTCGATCATGTTCTGACCTTCTAGTGTAAAGTCCTGTTTCTCACCCCTTCCTACTGTACAGATTTACACTAAGTCTCCTGGCGACATGCTTTTCAAATTCAAAAATTTCAAGAATAAGAATAATATCAAATGAAATCAATGAAAGAAAAAGATTAAACGAAAGACATCTTTAGGCGTAGAGACCGAATGGCACAATGATACTTTTTACACAAATGAGATTAATCGGTACAAAAGTAAACAACGCATTATTTATTGTTTATTTTTACTACGATAGCTTATAAATTACCTGTAACTAATGTAGAAAAATAGTCGATTTAAATTTAAACTAATTACGTTGAATGGTGCGTTAAATTTGTACATCAATGCATATATGTTTCATTTCTGGTTCGCAAGATTTAGTTATTCAATACACAGTATAAATTTACAATAAAAGTATAAAATTTGACAATTTTCTAGTTTTTTTTATTTTATTTTAACCATTTTATGGGTTGTGTAAGTTTTGAATTAAATTTGGCACAAATAGGCCGACAAATTATGCGTCTTGCTTGCAATATCGCGCAATCGCATGAAAAAGTTGTCTTTCCTTATAAACAGCCTCCAAGCCAGATTATCCAAATCACGATTTTGGAAAACCAATTTGGATTAGGTGGTCGAACAAAAAAACAAAAAAAAAGAAAAAAGAAAACCATTATGGATGATTAAATTTATTTTTTAAATTCAGAAGAACGTCTCCTATACATACAATGCATATTAATATGTTACACACATTTACGCAATTTTATTTCATTTTAAATTATCTTTTAACAAACTTAGATAGACATTCTATACATGAGTATTGAAAGGTACAACCAAGTGTTCCGTTGAAAGAACACAGAGTTTGATTACAATATACATAGATTATAGCCTAGGATAGAAAGAAGAGATCATATTTATATATGTATATTTCATTATCTAATTTAATTTAATACATAAAGAATTACATCAATACGGGCCTAACAAAAAGAGGTTAGAGCAAGCGAAAATATAATTTTGATTCGACAATTTGATTTAAAAACGTTAATGGACACATATAAAAACAATATCACAATATTTAACTAGCTCTTGAGTAAAAAGACTCATAAATAATATATTTGTTTTTGTTTGTATGAAGAAAAATGTACATTTACTATACTATAAAACAATTAATATTTGATATATTTACATTAATACGAGTACCCGAAATATCAGTATTTCATGCTTTAAATGTATGTGTGAAAAAAATAATTACAAGTAAATATATTATTGGTGGGTAATATACATAAAATACTTTTTTTGTTTAAATATGAACTAAAAATCACGATTTTAAATCCGAGAGCTATTCTACACTAAATACATAATTTGTTTGTATAATGTATAAACAGAACGATATATCATACCTAATCGTATACCAAACAGTTAGAGTAGAATTTTTTTGCTTTTTTTTCAATATTTTTTATTATATATAATTTTTACAGTTAGTATATAGGGATGAAATCGATCACATATTATGTCTAACATTTAACCGTAAATTGAAAATCGGTATAACGAGGTTTATCTCTTTAGCTAAACACTTCTACATATTGTAATAATAAGTAAATAGTAGAATTATTGGCGGACGTGTCCACTGCACACAGGAAAGGTATTTTGATTATTGCACGTTACGGATCGCCTCGGAGCACTGAGAGACCGGTATGATTTGTCACAGGAAATTCACAAAAGGAACTGATAAACGGGCAGGTCACGACGCACGTGATCGTGAATGGGCGGCTTCGTCCTCGGAATGGGCCGTCCTCCGTTTGGCAGAGACGAAGACCAGTGGGCATCCACTGACACTACACCTGTACATATCTGAGAGGTGATGCCCCTCGTAATGTTCTTTGAGCGCTGATCTGTCCTTGACCCCTTTCGAACAGTATCTACATAGAAGAGCGCCGTCGTTGTCAGTCGCGACGTCCTCCTCGTCGTCGGCGTAGACTAGATGCGCAGGAGGCGGGGAGTCCTGGGCCGATCTGGGAGAATCGGATCCCGAGGAATGCGTCCCGTTGACGAGAGACGGAGCGGTCAGGTGAGAAAAGCCGGGAAAGCCCGGTAATCCCAGAGGATGGAGGAAGAGAGGAGGGTGTCCGAGGCGATCGCCGTTCAAGAGGCCCGGTGGCGGAAGATGTGGGGCCAGAGACTGAGTGTCGGCGTAAAGTCGGGCCAAGAACTCCGGGTGGATGGAAGGATTCGAGGCGAGCGACGAGAGATGAGCCGAGTCCAAAAACATCCCTGCCTTGTCGGACAAGGAGGTCGACAGCAATTTGCGATGCAGGTTTAAATTGGCGCTGTGCCTGTCCCTGCTTCGCTTCGAGGGAAAGGCGGCGTTGCACCCGTCGACAGTGCACTTGTGCATCAGTTTAAGATGTACGTTCTGGTAGTGGGTTTTTACGCCGAAATGGTTCTGGAACACTTTACCGCAGGCGGTGCACATCCTCGGGTTGTCCTTATCGATCGGAACTTCCATAGTGCTGATGAACGTGCCGTCTTGGAAATGGCCGTAGACTTGACCATCGTTGTCGTCGGATGGAGAGTCGCCGTTGGATGAGGCGGAGGACGCGTTGGACCTCGCCGGGCTGGGAGGGTCTCCACTCCCACCGAAAGGGATCGAGTACGATTCTTGATTTCGGTTCAGTTCTCCGAATCGGCCTTGCGATAAATTTTCCAGTTGCCTCAAGGCGTTAGTAGAGTCTATTACATCTTCGTTTTTTATACTATCACCATTAGCGCTTGACGAACGTTGTTTTTCTTCTACGTTTTCATATTCTTCTCCATCTTTCGGTGGCGGAGTTTTTTTTGCCTCCACTGTCAAGTTTTCGGCTTCCTCATTTTTTGAATCCGGAGCGCTAAGATCAGTAGGCCCTTTTTCCTCTTCACGCGGTTTCACATCGTTTTTTTGGATGGTATTGTTGTTTTCGTTGATTTCTTCGTTTTTTTTAATAGTCATGTCGAATCCCGACTCGTTGGAAGTGACTTTTTTTTTCTCTTGGGAATGAGACTGATAGACTAAATTGGACGAATCGTCATCGCTCATACTTTCGTTCGGGATAACGGAATGAGAAACATTACACCTCGTCGGATTTTGGTTCTTTCTCTTCCGAGAGCTTTTGGTGACCAAGTTTTCGGCACCGTTTTCTTCTTTCACGCTTTGATTGTCGACGACACTGAGAGAATCTTCGTTACTGTCCATGTTGCTAATAGCGTCGTCTTCCACGTCCGATTCGGACATCTTTAATCTTTTGTTGGTCCGCCTGTCGATGTGTTCGTCATCGTGTTTCTCTCCATTATGATTTTCCGTCTCCATATCGTAATCGTCCTCGCCTCCTCCTTCCACGACTATGCCGTCGTCGTCGTCGTCGTACAGCATGTAGTCATCCATGTTCTCGGAATTGTCGTTACTCCCTTTTCGCGATTCATGGTGCTTAGGAGCGCTCAAATCGAGGCTCTGTTTCAAGTCCAAAGCCGCTGCTTGGTGGCGTAAGTCCGGAGGGGGAGTAAGAAGGGGGAAAGGTCCGAAGGACAAGGGGTTCAGTCCCGCCGCTAACGGGGGCATTAAAATCGGGTGGTTTTGAGCACTCCTTCCATCGTGAGGGGATATTTTTCTTCGCAAGTGTGGAGAGTGTAGCTTAGGGTTGGGGTTGGCGCTATGACGGTTACGAGATCTCCTTGAGCTGAACATCATATTACACCCTTCTACGGTGCATTTGTGCATTTCCCTCAAATGGACAGCGGAATAATGGATTTTCAAGGCTCCCTTGTCGCAGAACGTTTTTAAACAGACGTTGCATTGGACTCGCTTCTTTCCGGTCGCTGGGTTTATAAGTTGGGTGCCGAGATTTAACGGTAGGCCGGCGGAACCCCACTGGCGTTTCACGGGTGTCGTGTTTTTTCTGTTGTGGCCGGGTCTCATTTTAGCTTGTCCGGGGTTATCGCGAGAAAGGTTGAGTGCACTTTGAGAATTATCGTCGTCTTCTTCGTCCTCGTCCGATCCGAACTCCGACGATCCCGTATTGAGATAGTAGTCCGCAGACGGGGATTTGTGTCCGGAAAGCATGGAAGGGTTGCTCGGCAGAGGTGGCGGTGGCAAACAGGGCACCGAACTGCCGGTGACCGAGAGGTTCATCAAGCCAGGAGGGCTGGTTTCTTCGGAAGGCCTCCTCCTTTCGGGACTCGCCTTCGAAGCCGCTTTTCTGTAATCGAAAGGTTGCATGTTTTGAAGTTTGTTGAGCGGCGAGACGGAAATCGGGCTCGAGTTGGGAGGCGACGAAGGGGCGGATGTGGCCGGCGTACAGGTGAGTCCGGTCGGGGGCAGTTTAAAGCTAATAGGCGATGGTTTGTGTTGAGGTGAAATGGCGGGCGGTGGAGGCGGCACCCTGAGATTGGAGGAGCTGTGCAAAGCCGGAGAGACCGGCGGTTTCAACGACCTCCTTTCTTCTTCCTTTCGTCTCTCGAGCAATTTTTTGATGTCCGCTTCCATTCTCGGCAAATAACGGCCGTCGCCGACGCCGTGTAAAAGCAGCTGCTGGGTGATGGCCCTCGTCTCCCCGAACCTCAGAAACTGTTGAAGCACCAGAGGCTCCTCCTCGGGGCTGCAAATATTCCATCTGTCCAGCACTGCCCCATGAGGTTCCTAAAACAAAAATAAATCATATTACATTCGGCTTGGGTAAATGAAAAACACTATCGCACTACTGCTAAAACGAAAAAAAGAAGACTAATTTACTTCTTTCAATATACATATGACGCACTATCTCTTGCTACTGTCAAAAAAGAAAAATTAAAACTTAATTTTTGGTGGACCTTATCCCTTCCGAAGAATAGTGGCAAATGAACAGAAATAATTTTTTTAAGTAAAAAGAAAAAAATTAATTAAAATTGAAAAACAACGAAAAAGGAATTGTGGCTCTCCCATGCTTCAGCACAATTTTTTAATAAAAGAAACAAATAAACATTAATAAAAGTACTGAAAAGAAAGTCGTTGAAAAACAAAGAAAAATGCCAAAGTCGACAAATTTACGACAAAGCGATGCATCCAAAGATGCTCTATCATTACAAAATATAGAAAAACAAAAGAAAACAATCAACAGAATTGGTTGGTATGTAGATCACATCAATATCTGACATGACGTCCATCCCCTAAGGGTTCATAAGGGGAGGAGCTTCGTCCACTTTCATAACGTATATCCGCAGTAAACAAAGTTATAAAAAAAGCAACAGTTTTGACGATCCCAAGATAGTTATTATACATCAAGTTAGCTAAATGTGACCCCATCGGTAGTGGTCATGTTTAAAGAAAAAAAAACACACGAACCTACATGCAAAAAGAACCGTACATGAAAGGACCAGTTAGAAAATTGAACTTTGCAATATTACTCGATGAGAAAAATAATGTTATGTAGTTATTGTAAAAAGGAAATTCGTATCCTAGATCAATAATCAAAACAATAAATAAAATTGGATTATGACAGTACTGTCAAAGAAGATTATTTCAGCGATGAAAATAACCTTTCCGTTGTTTATATATTTACGGTTGGTGTACGTTTAGTGTGAAAGTTGTGACTTAAGGCAAAAAGTGATTTTTTTTTTCAATTGTTCTACAACAGGGTCGCTCTAGACTCAACTTTTATGAATTTAATGGATAGCTAAGGGGATATCGTGCGCCTCAGGAGGCGGTGTTTTTCTGCAAGTTACGTAAAGAAGACGTCACTTCTACTAAAAGCAGTCTTCTCAAAGGTTAATTTTAACATATCGAACTTTACAACGGAAACATCTCTTTCGGCCACTTGGAAAGATTTGATAACCCTCGGCTATATTTTTTTAAACAGAAATAATGTTTAAACGGTTTTCTTTTCACAGTTTAATAATTTCAGATTAGGAAAAAGAGGAGAAAAAGATATTAATATTAATTCCGAACTTTGAACAATGCGCTAATCACTAAGTTGTAAATTTCTCGGGGAAAAGACGACGACTCACATTAAAAAATCCCCGTAAAATACAAGTTCTCTACAGGAATATAATAATTTTCCAAAAATAATAAATACATACAGAGAAATATTTTTGCACGTACCATGAGAAGTGGGAGTGTGTGAGTGTAGAAATAATTTAGATGTTGACTTGCCATCGGTCCGTCCGTAACTGAAGAGGGACAGGTGAACAGGGATTGGGCGCAGAAGCCCCCACCAAAGTTTTCGCCCCCACCAGCGGACGGTGTCGCCCTATCACAGCCCCCGCAAATAAATATTTGACAAAACTACCCCCTGCACCGTAAAGAGCGTTAAGACTAATTGGAACAAATTGAATGTCCACTTACGGACCAGGAGGAATGGAAAAAATTGTTGTTTTTCAGGTAGTTGCAACGTCCCTTTCTCCCTTTTCGATACGAGTCGTGACTTGTAAACAATTTTTAAGGCTCCGGGATCGATGTTTTAATTATTGCTTGGCTCGGCGTGTAAAAACTGGCCGAAGTACGGGGTGATCTTCTCGATTTTCAATTTTGTCAACTTTCCTAACAACTTACATAAAAAAATTACTGCATTTAACTCAGATTGTTTCATATATTATGTCTATTTCTAATAAAATTCGTTTTTTTGTGTGCTTATTTTGTTACATTTTAACATAAACTGATAGAATGTACGGAATTGACATATAGCTCACAAAAAATTGTATGTACCAGGTCGGAGCTTAAATTTGATGGCGTTCGAAGGTACTCGCAGACCAAATTAACGTTGCACTGAGCGACACTGATTAATTTTCTGGTTCCGCCAATGCTGTTTTATTTTTTTTTTACGTTGCACTCAGGTAAAAACCTTCACAACAGATAGCATATCAAACGTGTGTTCTATTTTTCGGTTTTTTCTCCCCTCACCATTTTCGTTTTTTTTATTATTCTTTCTTTCTCTCCTCTCTCTCTCTCTCTCTCTCTCTCTCTCTCTCTCTCTCTCTCTCTCTGTATCACTATCTCTCTGTTGTTCTTTTTTTCAACCTGTCTCTCTAAATATATATAACATGAAAAAATTACTGTATTTAACTCACCCAACTGAAATTGTTTCTTACATTATATCTATTTCCTCTAAACTACGTTTTTCTTGTTTATTTTGTTACATTTTAATATATACTGATAGAATATAGTTATCATATAGCTTACAAAAACTTGTATTTACCAGGTCTGTGCTTAAAATTGAAGTCGTTCGTTGTACTTGCAGACCAAATTATGGTCCGGCCTATGCTGTTTTAATTTTTTTTTTACATTGCACTCAGTTGAAAACCGTTCCTCACTACAAATAACATATCACATGTGTGAAAAATCAGCGAAAATATGTATGGACCAGAAAAGTGATCAAGTGTATATCGGCTGTCTGACTTTCAAAATTGAAGTACGAAATTGCATGACGCATAAAAGATCAGCCTTTTCATTTCCAATTAGTCTTATGATGATTTTTCGTTAATCATGCAATAATGCAGCATAATGTAATATGATTTTATTATTGACAGGGTTTATTTAAAGCTAATTCGATATGTAATATCCGCTGCTCTCTCACCCTTTTCCTTTTCTCTGGCTTTTCTTTCTACTAATTTATCTCACTAAATATCTTTTTATTTACATATTCTTTATTTAGTCTTTACTTCTATTTATATTCGCTTATAGCGTTTTTTCAATTCTTTCTCGTCCTCGCGCTCTCAGCCTTAATTTTAATTTACATATCGACAATATCACTCTACTTCTTTCTTTCACCCCTTTTTTTCACATTCATCCTCAACCCTACCATTTTCTGGATTTTTTATTGTTCTTTCTTTTTTTCTCCCTCTTCCTCATTCTTCTCCTCTTTTTCGTTCTCTTTTTTCATTAATTTTGGCTGTCTCTCTCTCTCTCTCTCTCTCTCTCACACACACACACCCTCCTACTATCTCTCCCTTGTTGTTTTTCACTCTCTCTCTGTTTGTCTGTCTGACTGCCTCACTGTTTCTCTCGCTTACTATCTCTACTGTTCTTCTCTCTCTCACTCTCTCTCTCTCTCACTCTCTCTCTCTCTCTTTCTCTCTCTGTCTCTCTCTCTCTCTCCCTCTCCCTCTCTGTGTGTCTCTATCCCTATCTCTATCTCTGTTTGTCGTTCTGTCTATCGTTTGTAAGTCGGATTTTATGTCTGTAATTATGTATGCCGATCAGTTAATAGATTTATTTTCCTCTCACCTCCTGTCACTAGTTCTCTCACTCTCACCCACTTGATCAAAGAAGAAATAGGATTTACAAATAGCCTACTATAAGCAAACTAGGAAATATGGAATTAAAATTGTGTTTATTTGTACATTTTTAACATACATGTTTAATATAAAAAGTTATCTGAATTTTGAAGGATCCGTCGGAAATCGATTCATGAATTTTGTTCAGTTGGTCCAACGTATTCTCGCCCATTATTGCTCCCCCGGGTAGTTTTCTTATCTTAAGTCTTCAACCCCCTCCCCGGCGAGTATCATTAAATAGCAAATCCCCACAGCTTATCCTGGTGGAAAAAGGGTATATAACTGTCAAACAAGTCTCTGAATATCGGAAATGTGTTATATTGTTAAAATAAATATTGTTTTTATTGTATTTTTGTCTGTATTATTTATGGGACGTGTTTATAAGATGTTTGTTTATTTTGTAAAACAAATTCAATTTTACAATATATTATTTAGTTCTTCTTATCCTGCAATATCAATTGTAGAACTTACGTTGTCAAATAAAAATAAAAAAGTTTGTATTTAAGATGGTACAAATTACAGATTAATATAGAGGATTAATTATGTAAATAAGTTGTCCAAAAGAAAATTTGTTTAGTTCTCAAATTAACATTCTTTTTGTATAAATGTTGAATTCGTTTTTAAAAATTCATTGTTTTTGTACAAAAAGGAAACTGCTTTAATGGCAGGGCATTGCATTTGTGGTTTGTATTAAACTCAATTTTTAATAAAGGAAAGGGGAAGATCATGGAACGTTAATTCAGGGTAATCTACTCAATCTCAGTATTCATAATTGCGCAGATGGTGGGAGTGTTTAGGGTAGACAAAGGAGGCCAAAAATCACATGTTGATCTCGAACAATGGATCTGTTGGTCGCCAGGTGTCACAATATTGTCTGGCCGATCTTTCTGCGGTTTCTTTTTCTAATAAAAGTAATAATTGCCGGCCGGGTTAGTCAGCGGGGTTCTCTGAAGGGACGATTAGCGACGATAGGGGGCAATTAAAGGCGAAATTAAAAATAGGTGTCATTCCAGAGGCAAGTGGCGTTCCTTTGGCCGGATACGAGGAACATTTCACGCTTGATCTCGGCCTGGGAGCGAGTCGAATCGGTAATTAATCAATTCCAAACAACCGCCCTGTGCGCACAGCGTTTTTTTCTTTTTGTGGGACGGCCATTTACATTACGAAAACGACAATTTTACCCGTTAATAGAAGACAAACAGTAAAAAAATTGTAAGCACCAAATCTTGGCGGAAAGGCTGGAAAAATATCAGGTTTTTTGGGGTGGGGGATTTTTCTTTTTCTATCTATAAATTTATTGTTCTCTTTCGTTCATTTACTTTCACTTTGTTTTTATCTGCTTTTTTCTGTGCTCAAAACTCTTTTTGTCTCTCTCTCTTTCTCTATCTATCT